TATCTAGGGATTCATTACAGGGCATCAGACAGGTGTTTTCTTAGAGTTTTGCCAAAGTGAAAAGCTGTTCCTTTGTTACCTATGTAAGCATCCTCCTTACCTATGTAAGGATTAGTTTACTCTGTACAAGGTCATCCGCAATGGCACCTCAAAGAACCATTGCACGGTTGTCGTTAGTCAGATGGATATTTAGCATTAGGCCAGTATGGGGAACCATTTTTGGGTCGGAGCTGCATAGCATGGGTTCCCCAATGCTGGGGTGGAGGGGTCTGAGCCTCGGGGGCCGGTCCTCGGGCCTGAGGTTCCCCACCCCTGTAAGGAGGAGAGTACTGATGATAGTCTCTTTGTCCTACTCATCTCTGATTGCCTATATCCACTTGTTGTCTCTTATTGTTTACATATAGTGCAAGCTATTAGGGTATGTCCAAATTCCTGTGATAATTTGCATATCTTTTTCTGATCTCACTTCCAAAAACGGAGCTTTTGAAAGCGAAAGTAGTCTGGATGTGTTTTTTTGGGAAAAACCCTTTTTCGGAAAAACTGTGTAAACCTCATTTTTAAAGGAAGAGAGTTTTTTTGGAAAAAGGTGGGTTTTTTTTCCTGAAAAAAAACCACGTCCAGATTACTTTCACTTTTGAAAGATCTGCTTTCAAAAGTGAGATCAGAAGAAAGATATGCAAATTCCCATGGCATTTGCATATTCTCTTTCGAAAATAGAACGTAGTCTATACGTAGCCTTAGAGGCAAGAGCTATCTTTTTTGTTCTGTGTTAGTACCCAGCACTATGGAGTCCTGATTCATGACTGGAGTATCTAGGCCCCATCACAATACACATACTAATAACAACAACTGGTCCAGTCCTGGGTCCTTTAAGCCAAAAGGAGGATGAGTTTTGGGGTACAGAAGAGGAACAGGAAGGCTCAATTGGAGAAGCAGCATAGAACGATTGTAAGGATGACCCTGGCATCTAGAACTTCCAGGGGCTTAGTGAAGACACAGACACTTTCTGCTAGAATCCCACATTTCTGCCACCTCTTGAGTTGCATCACTTGATAGTAAGATTTACAAAGACTTGCCAAACATGCTATGGGCTGATGTGTACACCTCCACATGGGGCAAAGCAACCATCAAAAAGCAGCATATGCCAGCTTTCGTTGGGTATATTTTAATTGCAGAAAAGGTGTGTTTTTAACTCAGATTAGATACTGCATATTAGCTATATTGGGTTAAAACAGCAGTGAAGACAACTTAATTTTTAACTTGGGTTAGTAGCTTGAGTTTGGTGCAAGTCTCTCTGTAGAATTTAACTGATGCTGCTAACCTAGATTAAAAGTAGGAGTGTAAAATCCAGTTTAATTGGCTAACTGGTTAAACATATTAAACTGATTAAAGGGGTGGGATGAATGGGGAGGCTCCTCCCACTGTTAGGCTGGATTACCACCCTCGGTCCCCTGCTGCTGGCAGGAGTGGCTGCTCCAGCCTGGCCAGAACAGTCCATGCCTTTAGCCCTTGTCCACATCCGGTTCCCTGCAGACTGAAACAGCCCTCTGCCTTTGGTAGGCAGGGAACTGCTCCAGCCCCACTGGTTAATCTTCACATCCCTAATTAAAAGCCAAGTTGCCATGGCTTGACTGGTATTTAAACAAAATTAACTACCCCAAGTTAAGAATACACTCATTTCTTTTTTTCAGTTAAGACATACCCCTAGTAAAGCTGGGGCAAGGGACCCTGCTAGTGGAATGGAAGACAATGATTGCTGAAGATTCTACAAACATTTGGTCTATTCCCTACTCTAAGAAGCAGGGCTATTCATGCTGATGAAGGATTTGGTGGCAACCACTGTGGATAATTTAAAGTTACAAACTCTCACAATTTTACTCCAAAATCTTGATAAAGTGGATACATGATATCTTTTCCTTGAAGCCTCAGTTCTTGGTCTCATGTGATTATTGGAATGTGAGAATTTATTTTAAAAAGATAAAGTTTCTAACTCTGAGGTTGCAGAAAAAAGCTTGAAAACATGAATGCCTAAAAGGCTCAAGAAGAAATCCATTACTTTTCATTCAATATCAGGATTTGATTCTGGGGCTCTACCAGATTTCTAGGGTTCTTGGTAAAGTGAGGCATGGTGGGGACAGCAGTTAGGTGACTGGAGACAGATTATTGTTCCTTACAACTGTCTAGGTTGAAAGGCATCTAAGGAAAAGGGCTGGAAACTGCTATGGTTTTCTTTGATGAGAGGTGAAACTAAAATAAATTAAAAATAAAACAAAACAACTAAGGGGGGGACTGCCCTCCTCCCCTTTCTGCTGCTCCTTCCTTCCCCACTCCCAAACTACAAGTGGTATGACAAAATCCCGAAGGCCAGGGTTAAGATTAGATTTGTACTGGTAAACTAAGTAACTGTGCCTCCTGCTTGCTATACTCCCCAATCCCCGCATCTGTCCTAGCGATGTGAAGGACTAGTCAACTATCCAATAAGCAAATGCTTATTGGATAGTCAACTGGCTAGTCAACTAGTCGCTTCCACCCCCCACTTCCCTCCACTTGCTGCCTCTATCAAAAAGACTTCCCTGCCTGACCCCGGGATCCATGTAGCTCCCGAAGGCTGCTGATACACTTCAAAGGTGGAGGTGCCCTGTCAACTAAATGAATATGCATCAACTATTCGATCACTCAATTAGTCAATATTTAACATCCTTAATCTGTCCACTGTGTCACCTGCCTTCCGGTGGCCAGATGGGGGCTGGACTGCAGGGCTTGCCTCAGGAATGGGGGCAGGAACAGGATACTTTGACTAGAGGGGGGCTGGGCCCCGATTAGGCAGGGTGTCTGGACAGGAAGAGGGGTCAGGAGCAGGCTGGGGGCAGGGTTTCCGGCCAGGGGGCAGGGTGTCTGGCCAGAGGGGCAGAGGTAGAACTGGGCTGAGCGCAGGTGTCTGGTCAGCAGGGAAGAGACAGGAGCAGCGGAGGGTGAAAGAGCAGGCTGGGGGCAGTGTGTCTGGGCAAGGAACAAGGGGGCAGGAGTGGGATGGGGGGGCAGCAGGGATGGGGTGTGTGAGGTGCTGGGGTGCAGAGTCTGGGCATGAGGCGCTGTGGCAGGGCACTTACTCCTTTTCATTCCATGCACTGGAGGCCTTCTCTACTGCTCCAGTTGTGAAGCCACCTATGTCTTCACTTCAACTTCAACTTCCAGGCCCGGGGTCCTGATGCTCTGCGACCCAGTGGGGAACCACTGCCACCTGCTTGGAACTCCAGCCTCATGACACTCCCCACAAGATTAGAGTACCAGTGCTGGCTTTCTGCAGAGGAGGAGAATCCCTGAGGCTCCATGCTCAATCCAGCTTGAGCAGTGCGTGCACTTCCCCGCAAGCCAGATCCAGCGCACAGCCTCAGGGCTTTCTCCTCCCCCTGTCCCACAGGAAGCCAGTGCTGTCACTCTAATTTTGTGGGGCGAAGGGGCCATGGAGCTGGAGCATGAGGCAGGCGAGGCAGTTCCTTGCTGGGTCGCAGAGTGTTATGGCCCCAGACGCAGGAGCAGCAGCAGGACCATAGGCGGTTGGATGGGAAGTAGAGGGGATGGGGGATAGGGATGTTAAAGACTAGTTGACTATCTGATAAGTGTAGCATGGAGCCTGGGGTCCCGAGTTCTGGGGAAGTGCCATGCGGAATCTGGGATCAACTAGGGACTCCCCTGCTGACCCCAGGGCTCCTCTAGCATGCAGTGTAGCATGGAGCCCGGGGTCAGCAGAGGACTTACCCTGGGCTCCATGCATTTCAAAGGAGGCACACCGCATGCAGCCCGGACATTTCAGAGGACAAATGTGGAAGTGCCTATGGACTAGTCAATTAATTGCATTTTAACATCCTTAATAGGGGGACAACAGAGCTCGCTGAGTGCCCTACCACTGGTCGTCGGTGAGAGCCGGGGCAGAAGGCAGAGCGGGGAGCTGGAGCCACTTCCTGCTGGGTCCCCGGAGGGCTGCGAGGGTCAGCTGCTGCTCCCTTGCTCTCCTGCAGGTGAGCTGGGGGTCAGCAGGGAGCCCAGGGCTCCCTCTGAAGAGGGATGGGGGTGAACCCTGAGCCATGGCCACCGCTTCCCCTTCTCATTCTGCCAAGGCTGGGGGAGAGGCGGAGCGTCTCAGAGTGAGGTGATGATGCTACCGTCCTACAGAATTTTTTTTTTAATATAGAAAGATCAATAAACATCAATTTCACCATACATATGCAACTTACCCCCTCCTCAAGATATATCCATGGATAATAATTTTCAAACAAATCAGAGTGCTGATTGAAAATTTATGAGAGTTTGATTTCAAGGCTATTTACTTTGGATATTTTTAGGCGACATGAACAAACTTGTATTTTAACAGCTACGAATGTTAACTTTTTGTATCTGAACATTTACTGTCATTAAAAACCGATTGCCTGGCACACCCCATAATTAGCAACTGTAAACATTTAAATAGATGTAAAAAGCTTAAAAATAGGCATTCGTATTGTCTGCCAAAACTATAAAAATAAAAATGCAAGGGTGGGGGAGCCCTAAGATCCCCGGGACAGAGCACGGAGGCTAGAGTCTGGGCAGAGACCTGGTCCCACAGAGAACCGTGATATGGAGGGTGCATCTCCTCTGGCTGCGCTTGAAATAGCAAGCGAGGAGCAAAGTGGAGATAAGAACTAAGAAGGGATGAGGCGCAAATGAAGGTGGGGCACGGCAGGGGAGCAGGCGGGTGCGGCACCCACCAGGCCTCCCCGTGCAGTGAAGGGGCACGAAGAAGGGAGTCGTGAGGGGACGCGGTGAAGAACAGGCGCAGACTCAGCCAGCAATCAAGAGCGCGCGCGCAAGTAGGAGGCGCGGGAGAGCTCCTCGCGCACAAGCGCCCCGCCCCAGTCGGGAAGGTGACGCCTTATGCTCAGCCCTGAGTGGTTCCGAGGGCTGTCAATTGGGAACGACTCGCTCACGCGTCCAGTCGCGCGACAAGCAGCCGTGATTGGGGGAAGAGGGGGAGGGGAGCGAGGAGAGGAAACAAAAACAATCGCCCGGGCACCGCCATCTTGGGTTCGTTCTGCACGCCACACGGTGAATGGGTAGATATGAAATTACCACAGGCGAGCCGCAACAGCAGCAGCACGGTTCGGAGGGCCGTTCGGAGCTGCCAGCCGGGCGCCGGGGACTATAAAACCGGCTCCTTCATCCGCCGCCTAGAGAAAAGCCCCGGGCTTGGCCTTTCCTTATCGCCGACCCCTAAACTCAGCTCCTGGGAGGGCAAAGTTGGTGTCCGTCGCGCCGGCTGGGAGACGAGAGGGTTGGAGCCAGCAGCAGGTTCCTCAGAGCCAGGAGTTAACTGGGGACAGAGCTAGGGGAGGGGGAAAAGAGGGTTTCCCCTCCCCCTTTCCAGCACCTTGCCCAGGGCTTGCCTGGTACGTGGTGTGGGAGGCACAAGGAGAAGGCAGCAAGAGTTCACCAGGCTTTCAACCCCCACCCCGCCACCCAAGCCATTGAGGAGTTTTTCTTCCTAAGAAAGCAAAAGTTGGACTGAGTGAAAAATTGTCCAGGTTTCTCCCTTCTAACCACGTAGGAGGCAGAGAGGAAAAATGTATCCGTGAGGAGTTGGGAGAGGGGTATGAATCGAACAGAAGAGCCACCAGCCCAGCACGCAGGAGGAAGAAAGCTGTCACCATCCCAGCAAACACGAAGATCCAGGGCACATCCAGTCATGTGTCTATAATATTGATATCCTTTCCACCGCCACAGAAGCAGCGTTCTCCTAGAAGCACAGCAATCAAGGAAGAAGAGATTTGCCACGCGCTCATAGATCACCTTCCTCCCCAGCGGCTGGAGACTACATTTTTCCTGTGACTTCACTGTTTGAACACCAAATATAGTTTCTTAGAGGGGATTCTTAAAGGAGTTTGAAATTCACTGTTGAGGCAAGAATGTCTGAAATGCACAGCCTTTGTTGAACGGACAAGGAGAGGATCGCAGAAGTAGGAGGGAAGTGGTAGGAGAGAAGAGAAAACGTTCGGCTTTCATTAACTTGAAAGGGGAAGCCCAGAGATTTATTTTTGTGGAAGTGTAAAGGCTTTTTTGTTTGAGGTTGTTGTTTCTCCTCCCATCCTTTTCCCTGTGGTCACAATACAGCTCGCAGCATGATTGAAGTAAACGTCAATGTTGCCCACATGTGGCTGGTAACTTTTTAGACAGTTTTTATAAAGAAACTGACAAGTATACTATTCCCTTCTTTATCAGTGGCTTACTGCTTTTTGACGTTTGAAGCTGAGATGGTACTTTTTACTCAAACACTACATGTTGTATAATAGGAGTGAGACTGAAAATATACTCTTTACTCATTTCAGTAAAACTTGCTTGGTTCCAGCGCGACGAGGGATACTTTACAGAGCTTAAAGTAGAAAAAAGCTGAACTTCCTCTGAGACTTGGTTCTCCTTCTAAACAGCGATTTATGCTGTTGACTTTTTATGGATTCTTAACTTTTTTCCCCCTGAATTACATTTTTCCACCACTTGTACAGAAGCCAAATGACACATGTGTTTTGAAATGCTTCTCCAAATATACACCCTTGTATCCGGGATCTCGCTAGAAAGAGCTGGAGCGGTTGTCAGTATCTAAATAAAGCTGATTTTATTGTTTTGTGAACACTCTAGACTCCAGAAATGTTCTAGTTTGCTTTATAACGGTTAAATTTGAAGGTTGATTTTTTCTGTTTGGAAAAACCAGGAAACACGAGAGTAGGAACACTACCTGTATGTTCTAACTGTATTTCGAAAATGGGAGCTGCTACCAAGTTGGCGTTCGCTGTCTTTTTGATCTCTTGTTCTTCAGGTAAGTAAACTTAATTTGGTCAGTTTAAAGGTATCATTGTGATACCAAAGCTTGTGGAATTAGTACGATTTGCAAACGTCTTTTTTGAGTACTGTATATTTGACTTGGAATATATAGTTTCTGGTTGATAGTGACTAATAGTTTGAAGTGATAAGGTTGTTGTAGATGACAGCTGGGGTGGTATCCGTTCAGCACTTCTATTGTATGCGTTCTGTAAACGTAAAATTAGTCCACTGCAGAATTGATTAATGGAGTACCTTTAAAGCTAATTACTTATACTATTTATTAATATTATAATTGAAGTTTCCTTATGTTTAAAATGCTCAGGAAAGTGCAGCATGACCAACTCCTCTAACTTCATTTAGATGTTATTTTGAGATACTCATTATTGAGCTTTAGCATGTTTAAAAATAATTCTGAAAGCACTGTATGGAGGGGGAGTTGTGTGTATGCACAGAATCAAGAGAATAAGGTAAATTTAAAATCCTTATCTGGATACTTTGCAAAACCTAACATCTTTTAGCTACCTAATACACTGTTTATCACTTTTTGATTTTACAAAAGTACATGTTTAAATGGCTATCTTTAGTCCTATGAAACAGTGTGGTCCAAAAATTGTTCAGTGTAAGCATTTTTCATGATAGCAACTAGTGTTCGAAAAAATTAATAGACTTGCATTTATTTGGAACGATCCTTCGGAGAGCTACTGATCCTGGGTATTGTAACTGATTTTAACTTTTTTTTTTTTCCTTAAGCTTTACAACTTGTATACTGTGTGGTTGTGTGGCTTTTTTTTTTAAACACATTCCTTTTTGACTGCTTATGCACTGTTGTGTGCAAAAATAAAAGTATTTAGCGTTCTTATAATTGTGAGTTGATAGCTGGTTTTATCTGACCCTATTTCTATCTTGTTCTAACTGCCTGGCTAGTTTTCTGTAAAAGCTTCTTTTATTAAAAAATAAATAAATAAATAGAAAATGGTGATATAGAATTTTGCTGAATGATCCATTTCCTTGTGGTTATTAAATGGATGCAGTCTAGTCTTGTGTCTGTAGTGTTATTGATCAGTTCTGTGTGGGCTGAATGTGCTGTGAAATGGCGATCACTGCCACAGATTAACCAAAAGAATTAATCTGTTGAAATGGAACATGTTAAAGACAGCTTGATTCTTTTTAATATCAGAAAAAATACCAGTTTTTAACAATCATGATGGTTTATGTTTAAGTAAAGCCCTTCCTGAAACACTGATTATGAAAGTATTCGCTTTTAATTTAAATAAGGCTATCTTTTTGGAGTTTTCTAGTTTGTTTTTCTCTTTCCCCTTTCCATTCCCACTTTACTACTTTGCCAGATTAAGGGATAGGATAGAACAGTGGAGTCCTTTCCTAGGAACCTACCTGTCCTACTTACTAATCAGTCAAAAGCATTCTTGAGACACTATGTAAAAACATCTGAGTTTTTCTAGATTTTATTATTCTTGGCAGCAGTACACGTGACATGGAATGTTAATTTTGTCCATGACAATGGAAATAACTTGTACTAGACCAGCAGGAAACTGGTTAAAATATTATGGAATATGTTTCATAGCATATGTAAATATTATTGCCTTAGCACGTATTCCTGAACTAATTGTATAAATGGATAAAAATACATCTAGTTAGAAATGTGACTTTCACAATTCAGAGTTTAAGACTACTTAGGCTTCTTAATATGAAATAACACGAACATGAGCACAGAGTCAGATATAGTGTTTGTACTGATCATGTCAATTTTATGTTGCATGAAATCTTCCATGGCAAAATATTTTTTTAACTCTGACATTTAAAATTATTTTTCTCACTACTCTGGATTGAAGAATATTTTTGCTTGAGCCTTTTAAAACTGTTGGCCAGTGTGAAGAGACTTTTACAACTTAATTCCAAGGTTGCTATTTGATATTTCTTCCTTGTGGTTGCAAGTATACAGCTCCTTTTTAATGTGTGTGTGCACATAACTTCTTAGTCGATAAGCATTTGCTAAAGTTATACACACACATCAGTCCATCATAATCATCTGTCTGATATTCAGATGAAAAGATCTCTCTTTTTCTCGCAAGAGATGGGGTTGGGTCTGCATTTTGGGGGGCATTTTTGCCTTTATTAAATGCTGACTTCAGATTTATTTGAGTTTCCTTACCTCTTCTAAATCAGTCCTTTTAACAGAAGGAACAGAAATATCTTTCACTTTACATGAGTATGGAAAAAGACTAACATCTTTTCCTCATCAGTACAAACCACAGAGAGTAAGATGGAAGCTAAACAGGAAAAACTGGAACACCTCAGTCACAGTTGTAGCCTTTTAAAGGACCACTGACATGTATACTTCGATTCACCAAGCATTTAAAAACAAAAGGAAAACACAAATTAAACAGGGCCTTACTGCCCTACACTTGCTATGCATCTCAGTGTTAATGGTACAGGAAATAAAAAGCTGTCTCTTAAAAACAAACTTCTCTTTGCTTAATAGAAAGGTGAGTTACAATTTCTCCCTCCTATTCCTTTGCTAGAGTTTACTTTAACATCAAGAATGCCAAGACTGTTCTTTGGTTTTCTGATATGTCTTGAAGCATGTATATTGTGTGGTACCTTCTCCCTCATCTTAACTGAAGAGGAGTGGTTAAAACTTTTCTGCAGGTTTCCTTGACAATATGCAGTCATCTGTTAATAAAAGGTGATTTGCTTTTCAATACTTATAACAATTTTTAGACACTTTCAACACTTGCACATGTAGTTTAGCTTGTACTGTTTTGCGTGCTTGAGATGATGTCATTTCAATAATTCTTCAGCTTTGAGTCTTGTTTTTATGAAACAAGTTGCTATTTTTTTAAGACTTCAGTTGCTATTTTTTTAAAAAGAAGGCTGCCTTAAGCAAGCGAGAAGAACAAGCAAACACTAGCCCAGTTTTTCACTTGCAGGTCACCTTCAGTTTGTTCATTTTTTTGAGAGGTTCTTGTGTTTCAAAGAAAATGATAGGTTGAAAATTATTCTCTAATAAAAAAAACTCTTCTGTGCTCCCAGAGACTACTTACTCTTTCTTCCTCCCTTTAGTAAAAGTCAAAACAAATTTTTCAGATATCAGAAAAATAATTACTAAGAGCCTAATACTCTTAAAAAAGGTTTCGGGGCACAGTGTTAGCTATTCTCAAAGAGTAAAAGAAAATGTGACGAGTTCCTTGTTTCACTAGTGAGTAGAATTTTTCAGGCTCTTTTCCTCCCCCAGTAATCATGGTAGTTCTTAAGAACCCTGCCAACAGTTCAGGAGCATCATTTCTGAACTTGACTCTAAGGCCGTGTCTAGACTGGCAAGTTTTTCCGCAAAAGCAGATGATTTTGCGGAAAAACTTGCCAGCTGTCTACATTGGCCGCTTGAATTTCCGCAAAAGCACTGACTATCTCATGTAAGATTGTCAGTGCTTTTGCGGAAATACTATGCTGCTCCCGTTCAGGCAAAAGTCTTTTTCTGAAAAACTTTTGCGCAAAAGGGCCAATGTAGACAGCAGAGATTTGTTTTCTGCAAAAAAGCCCCGATTGCGAAAATGGCGATCGGGGCTTTTTTGCGGAAAAGCGCGTCTAGATTGGCCATGGACGCTTTTTCCGCAAAAAGTGCTTTTGCGGAAAAGCGTCCTGCCAATCTAGACGCGCTTTTCCGAAAATGCTTTTAACGGAAAACTTTTCCGTTAAAAGCATTTCCGGAAAATCATGCCAGTGTAGACGTAGCCTAAGAGTATAGTCTCAGTAATCAGTTTGTGTTTAGTGGTTGAATCTTGTGATCACATTCACTGTAAAGTAAAATGATTAAACTATTTAAAGATGTGATGTACAGATTTAGTTTCAAGCTCCTATTTATACATAAAAGAACAGTAACAGTACAATTTTGGCTCTTCAGTTCACCATTAGTGGCAGCACTGTTGGCAGCCCTGTTGAACCTCCTATGATAGTTTTCAAACATGACTAGAGTCAGACAGGTGTGACTCTAAATTAGGTTACAACTCTATTATGGTTTTATATTTCTGAGCTTAACTATAATATAATAGAATTCCTCATGGAGGTCTGGCCTAATATTTTTGCTAATAATATAAAATACTGTCAGTTTGAAACCTGGAAGCAATATTTACAATTGTGCTAAGAGCTGTGTTTGAAAACTTCAGTGTGTTGTGGGTGAACTGTTTGGCAACAGTTTAATGAACGTGATTTTAGCTAACACCGTTCTACTGATCTATAAGTGCTATAGACACATTTCAGTAAGAACTCCTGGAGAATCCCTGTTACATATTAGGGATATTAACTAGCGATTTAATTTACTAGTCGAGTAGAAAATGGAATTTCCATCAACTACTTGACTAGTTGATAGGCACTTCAGTGTTCTGCATTTGAAATGGACATGAGTCCCGATGGAAACTCTTGTGCATTTCAAAGTGGAAGCTCCCGTGTGGAACCTGGGGTCAGCGGCGGACTCGGTCCTGATGCATTTGCTTTCTGGATAGTTGACTAGTCCTTAACATCCCTATTACATAAGCTCAGTACTGTGGAAGCTTCTCTGTTGGAGGCTACGGCATTGCCATACTATGTATGCAAAAGGATAACTATCATGATCCTGGTATATAGGCCTTAATAGCTTTAAACGCTCCTTAATAGCTTGTTCCCGCTGGGGGGGGAGAGGGTTATAAACATTCTTTGGGACTCCTTAGCATCTTACATAAATAACTGAAAAACAGCTTGTTTAACCTTTCTTAGCATATCTGACTCTAGTACTCGTTTCTAACTTTTGAGGTTAATAGAGTTTTTTGAAATGATTACTTTTCCTACATCTCATTTGAAAAGGCCCTCACTTTCATTTTAACCTTGTCATATAAACAGCATGACCTGGATCTCATTCTTTGGAACTTATTTTATTTCGTCTGAACTAGACATTTTCTGAAGTATGTAACCAGGTAGGCTTCACCACCAACGGCACCTCCTAAT